TGCATTTTAAAGTCAGATCCACTTCGGTAGAGACGCCAACCAAAATGCGCTTTCTAAGCTCGGGCAGAGTCTTCACAGGCAAACAAGATTCAGGCCAATCGCGCTGATTCTTGAGAAGAAACGCTGGGCCTCTGAACCAAAGGGCAGATTCCAGAAGCTCAGTCGGGGAAGCACCTCTTGACAAGATGTCGGCTGGATTATAGTCAGTCGGTACATAGCGCCAATTCATGCCACTGGATAGCTCTTGAATTGAAGAAATTCGATTAGCAATAAATACTTGGAAACGTGAAGGTTCATCGCTTATCCATGATAAAGCTACAGCAGAAACGATGAGCTTCATGTTGCGTACGTCCCGCATCAGTTGCGCTAGTATCAAGGCAGTGCAGAACTCCAATTTGGAAACCGTAAGAGTCTTCCAAGGTGCCACACGAAACTTTGAAAAAAGTAGATGCATTCTCGTTCGCCATCAGCATCTGGATCCAACGCACGTCGAAAAATCTCCATTTGATGGGTACGACCCATGTCAGATGGCAACAGAACAACAGGAGAGCTCTTATCCCACTCCAACCTTTCTCTCCAGACTTGTTGCAGGAAGATTTTGGCCTTGGCAGATGGCTTTGGAGAGACCTGTATGGAAGAAAGGGAAAAACGAGAAACATCCGCTACAGGGTCCCAGGCAAGAACGAGCGTCTTGTCGCTGCTATCGTCAATCTTCAGGAATGTTTCCTTTTCCAAGTCAGAAATTTGATCACGGACGTCGTTGATTTCGAGGACCTCCTGTGTTGACTGCCCTCCTATGATCAGATCGTCAACATAGAAGTCTCGCAAAATGGTTTTAGAGCCGATTGGAACTGAACTCTTCTCATCACTCGCCAATTGATGCATCGTTCGAACGGATAAAAAGGTTAGTTCCGCCACGGGAGCTCGCTGAACCTCGGACGAAGGCTGAGAGCCAGGGTGCAAAGGGCTATGACGCTTGGTCCCTTTTCGCTTACGCAATTCAACATTCAATTTTGTTTTTGTTGAGATGATAAGCTCCTCGAAGTCATCGCGCACCATACTACCAATTTCATTGAAGTCCAGCTGCTCAAGTCTGTCATGGATCTGGCAAAAGGCAGTCTTGATCTCGTCCAGGCGTTGAACACGAAGCTCCAATTCCTCCTCGCTCATTTCCTGGAGCTTGTCGGCAGTCAGGGCCTTCTCGAAGGCTTTCGTTTTAGAAAGCATTGACTCAGCCTTCAACTTGAAACATTTTGCTCCCGCAACTGGAGCAGCAAGCGCTGTGTCAGTTGACATGTTGTTTAAATTTGATTTTAATTGCTTTGAGAATTTATCACTTGCACACTAAACAAGTTCCACTGTGCAATGATTAGCGCGAAAATTCTAAGCCAGCGAAAACGAAGCGGAATCTATGTGTGTTCGATGACATCATAAGTCAACATTAATTTTGATTTAATTATTATTATTTTATGAATAACTTTGTTCAAGCTGATTAATAATTTGAATTCTTTGCCAACTTGTTATATTTAATTACCCCACACTGACCAACCAACATAAGCATATGATGTTTTGAATTCGCCTTACGCTCTTTTATACATGCAGCTCACACATGTACATACATACATATCTCTCTTTTGCCACTCTCTCTTGCCTCTCGCCACTGGATCGTCGTGGATACCTGCATACAGGGTATGCGCATCATAACCGTCGCAAGTACAGATTTGGAGACCAAGGAATAGCGGCACAAAGAGGACGAAAAACTATAAGCTAGACTCGCAAATGCAATCGCGGTTTTGTCATTCCACTGTGAATCAAAGGGCATTGCCCATATACACATACATACTTGTGCAGCTGGTCTGCAAATAAATAAGCCAAAAATTGAGTTACTCTCCAAGCATCGGAGTGTTTTGTTTTCTCCCTCTGAACCAAAGGGCATTGCCAACATATTTGGATAAAGTATTGCTTCACTCAATAATTGCTCTACATTTAGTTTTCGCTAAATAACTCTTCGAAAAAATGACTGATACTCAACTTGTGTCTTTAAGACAGCAAAGGAATACAATTCAGCGAAATATAGTTAATCTCAAAGCTCGCATCGAACTGCAGAACGACCTTTCTGCCCTTGAATGCCAGTCACAAATTTTGGAATCATATTTTAAACAAATTCTTCAAATTCAATCACAGATCGAACGGCTGGATGCGGCTGAAGACGGCCGCCAAGAATTAGAGGACGTATTCATAGAAACCAAGGCAATTATAATCACTCGAATTGGGGAGTCAAAGAAGGACCGGCCAGAAGATGCAAGTTTCTTTAATTCATCGGCATGTTGTGCAACTGGGCATCATAATCGTTTGCCTTCGTTAAAGCTGCCTAAGTTCGACGGGAAGTATGGTGACTACATGAAGTTTATTACTGCCTTTACTAGCATGGTACATGATGACGCTTCTATATCAGCTGTTGACAAATTTAACTACTTGCTTAGCTGTTTGTCTGGCCCAGCGCTGAGTGTTGTGGCCCCCTTTCAAGTGTCCGAAATCAATTATCCAAAGGCGTTAAAGCAGTTAAAGGAGCGCTAAGATAAAAAGGTTTTGGTTTTCATAGAGCACATATCTAGCTTATTCGATATTCAAATTATGAAAAGATCTGATCCCGCAGCTCTTCGCTGTATCTTGGATACCGTCTCCGCGCTGCGTGAATCGTTGTTGTCGTTAGGAACAGAAGCAGATGTTATGAACGCAATATTAATTCACCTTGTTTTATCTAAAATTGATGCAGATTCGAAATTATCGTACGATCGGTGTCAAGAATACGAGGTGTTGCCTACTTGGGAGGATTGTTATCGCAGTTTAAGCCGTCATTGTCAATTTTTGGAGAGCAACGTTAAACGAACATCTGATGAGAAGCCAAAGGAAAGGCCCACGCAGAATAGAAGAGCCTTTGTTACGGCACAGGGTGGTTGTAAAAAATGTTCTGCTACTGATCACTCTCTCACTCAGTGCCCTTCATTTGGTTTACTAGACTGGCAGGATAAATTGAATTTCGTTAAGCAATCCGCTCTGTGCATAAATTGTTTGCGCACCGGCCATTTGGCGAGCAGATGTCCAAGTAGATCTCGATGCCGCGTTTGTCAAGACTTACATCATACTATTCTGCATAGATCTGCTCATCGAGAGCAACCAACATAAATTGTTTCGAACACATTACAGCAGCAGCGGGAACCCACACATGCTGTTTCCATGCTTTCGCGTCATTCGAGGCGCGCTTTAATTTCTACAGCAATAGTATTGATTAGTGATAAGTTCGGAATATTTCAGCCAGCCAGAGCTTGACTCAGGCTCTGAAATAAATTTCATCTCTGAAGAGTTGGCCAAGCTCCTTCAGCTCAGATTCTAGAGACAGAAGTATGACATTTCTGGCATAGGCGATGTCAGAACGCAGATGAGATTCTCGGTCTCTACAACTATTCACGATTGTCTGTAAATGAATGGCACTTACAATCCGCTGTAGCCAAGACAATATCACTTAATCAGCCAGAGCGCTTCGTTGATACTTCACAATGGAACATACCCTCAGAGATTGATCCTGGCTTCTACATGCCTCACCGAATCAGTGTTGCCAGGTGATGAGCGCCCGTATAAGCTAGATTTTTATAAAAAATAAGCTAGAATAAGCTAAAAAATTAAAAAAAAAAAAAATGCTAAAAAAAACAAGCTACACCCAAATGAGAGAAAACACGAAACATTATTATGTTTTTATATGGATGGCAACAATCATTGGGGGCTATATTTATGATAAGGTCTTTATTGATTACACTGTGCGACAAAATTTAACAAAATCTTTGTTTAAGTTACTTTTTTGATTGTTTTCGGTTAAGGTGCATAAATTATGCACAAAAATATCTATGCCACCTTTTAAGTGATACGATTTCTTTTTTCATGGTAAATTTTATGAAATTATTATTATGAAAATAATTAACACAAAATATTATTTTTATTTTTACTTTCAATAAACTATTATTTTTTTAAAAGTGAATTTTTTTCCCTGATTTTATTTGGCTTTGGTGAAAAAATATTTTCCCATTATGTGATTATAAGGCTGTGAAATATGTAAAAACGCGCGTTTTTGGGACATTTGAGTGTGCGTAAAAGCTGATTGGCTATTGATATTAACAAATCCAGAAACTTATAATCTTATTTTGATTAGTAGAAGTGAAAAATAAGAAAAAATCAACTTAAACATTTTTTTTGTCGCACAGTGTTATTTGCGTGCATTTCGTACGCCCCAATTGAATTTGAGCCGCTGCACTTCATTCTTTAAATTTAGTTGTGCACAACCGCGACAATTGGTCCACTGGCAATATCGCCGAGTGTTCGGCAATGAACAAACAAAGCGCTGCTTCCTGATCCTGAGTCTTGAAACACTTAGCCGGAAAATGTATTTTTTTGCGATTCAGCAACTGATCCCATTGCTGAAGTGTGCTTTTTCGATGCCGCATGCTGCCTGATTTCAAAGATTTTGGCTGATATTGTCGACTTACAGTAGTAACCATATGCTTTGGTTCCTTCTCCTGGCACTTTGCGTAACCACGCACATCACATTAAATGCACATAACCATTGGCAAAAAAAAGAACAAACTCCGATATTTCATGCCGTAAAACATATTTTTCGTACAAAACATCCCGTGGATGTTGAAAATATATAAAAATCTAAAATATACTAGATGAATCTTAAAATAAGCTATTTTTCAAGCTATAAGCTAGATGGAAATTTTTCAAGCTTTTCTAGTTTCAAATATGCTAGAACTAGCTTATAATAAGCTAAACTGGCAACACTGCACCGAATCGACCTACTCATCAGCACACAAGAGTTTTTTGATTTACTTTCAAATGGCAAAATTTCTTTGGGTCCAGGCCTTCCTTGCCTGGTCAATACTGCTCTTGGTTGGATCGTTGGCGGAAAGGTTTCTGATATTTCGCAATCTCAAGTCGTAACATGCAACATGGCACGTTCTACGGAGCTGCAAGGTGCATTAGAAAGGTTTTGGCTAATCGAGGAGTTTGATTCGCACGATCAAGGTTTCACCGCAGAAGAGCAGGAATGCGAACGGCATTTTGTGGCGAACACAAGGTTTCTCCCATCTGGACGGGTCCAAGTTTGCTTGCCATTTAAGGAGAATCCCCACATGCTAGGTAAATCGTTTGAAATTGCCAAATCCCGGTTTCTGCAAACTGAACGTAGGTTGAGCCGCAATCCGTTGTTGAAGGAGATGTACGTACAATTCATGAGGGAGTACATAGATTTGAATCATATGCAATTGGCATCTAATTTCGAATCTCAGAAGACACATTATGTAATCCCGCATCATGAAGTCCTTAGATCTGAAAGCACAACTACCAAGCTGCGTGTTGTGTTTGATGCATCGTGCAAAACAACGTCGAACCTTTCTCTGAATGAGTTGTTGATGATTGGCCCAAGCATCCAGCAGAATCTTATCCTAACACTTCTTGCCTTTCGCTTACATCGTCATGCACTCGTAGCTAATATCTGCAAGATGTATCGCCAGTTTGAAGTATCATCAGACGATCGTATGTATCAACTTGTTCTCTGGAGAGAATCCTCAGCTGCGCCTTTAGAATGGTTTCGGCTCAACACTGTCACGTACGGCATGTCCTGTGCACCATTTCTAGCAATCAGGAGCTTGAAATATATTGCGGATAACTTCTCCAATCAGTTTCCCATCGGAGCATCCGTACTTAAAGAAGATATGTACGTCGATGACCTCCTTACTGGAGCAGACAGTGTCGAAGAGCTTCATCTTAAGGCTGCAGAGGTCACCAGCATACTTTCTAAGGCTGGATTAGAGCTTGCAAAGTGGAACACAAGCAAAATAGAAGGCGATGGAGCAGAGTTCCAATTCAAAGTTGATACCAAGGATGTGACGAAGACTTTGGGCATGTCGTGGCAACCAAAACTCGATGTGTTCTGTTTCAGGTATACCCTACCTACAATCTCTGTCATCACCAAGCGGAGCATCGATTCACTTGTAGCTCACCTGTACGATTTGCTAGGGCTCGTATCACCAGTCGTTATTCGATGCAAAATATTGGTCCAAGAGTTGTGGATGCATCATCTAAACTGGGACGATCCACTTCCTCCTGAGCTTCAATCTCAATGGAAGCAAATAGAAGAAGATTTGCACAATCTTCAAACCATCGAAGTCCCAAGATTCATTAACTCGTCACCAAGAAGTCTATCGGAAATACACGGATTTTCAGATGCATCGCAGCGAGCTTATGGATGTTGCCTATATCTACGAACATACATAGATGGAGAGTTTAAATCAATGCTAATCATCGCCAAGTCTAAGGTGGCCCCAATAAAAGCAATTTCATTGCCGCGGCTAGAATTGTGCGCCGCATATTTATTGTGTCAAACATGGGCCAAGATTAAGCATAAATTCGAAAAATACAATTATCATATTTTCTTTTGGACAGATTCAAGAATCGTTCTACAGTGGCTTACCATGCACTCGTCCAGGCTAAACTGTTTCGTCGCCAACCGGATTTCTGAGATGCAATCAACCACGTCAAACATCACTTGGAGGCATGTTCCGGGCAAGGACAATCCCGCGGACATAGTGTCAAGAGGCTGCGCAGCGTCCGAGCTTATGGAAACTATATGGTTTCGTGGACCAAGCTTTTTACGTCAAGACTCATCTGGATGGCCTCAACCAGTACCAAATTCTCAGGACACCAGTGAAGAGTTGGAGCTGCGGAAAGCAACAGTCCTCACATGTACCGATAGTGGTAGCAAGGAAGATTTACTCGATGACGTTATCAACAAATTCTCATCCTATCGGCGCATTTTGCAAGTCATGGCTTTTGTGTTGCGCGTCTTCAATAGAATCAAGGTCAACAGGAAGGTGAACTTAGTCGATGTAATTCATACACCATCAACTGAATTGCAATACGCGTTCAAGCACAACATATCACATATTCAGCAGAAGGCCTTTTTCAACGAAATCCAGCAGCTGAAGGGAAACAAGATTTTGAAGCCCGAATTTCAAAAGCTAAATCCGTTCCTAGCAGCGACGGACGGATCAAACGGTTCGATAACACTATTAAGTGTAGGAGGCCGCTTAGCCAAGGCGCCCATTTCACTCGATGCCAAGTTTCCTGTTCTTCTACCAAAAAATCATTCCTTCACATTGAAATTCGTTGAATATCTCCACCAGCAGCACATGCACGCTAGACCAAAGGCTCTCATTGGAATTCGGCGACTTCAGGCTTGGATTGTAAACGCCCGAGAAATCGTTCGAAAGATTGTACGGCGCTGCACACACTGTTACCATTATAAGCCTCGTTTAATGGAACAAATGATGGGATCACTTCCAGTTGATCGCTTTCATTCACAACGACCTTTTTTTGTCACTGGAGTCGACCTATGTGGACCATTTGCCACATCATACCGCATTCGAAGCAAGGTGCCATATAAAATATACATGGCGGTGTTTATATGCTTTTCTTCAAAAGCAATCCACATAGAACTCATTTCCGATCTATCCACTAATAATTTTATTCTCTGTTTAAAGCGCTTCGTCAGTCGCAGAGGCATCCCACTACGCATTTATTGTGACAATGCAACTAATTTCGTCGGTGCACGATCGCAGCTCGAGGACTTTAAGCTGCAGCTGTTCGACGAAGCCAACACATCGAATTTGCAGAAGTTCAGCAGCATCGTGGGATTCGAGTTCAAGTTCATCCCTCCGCGTGCTCCCCACTTTGGCGGCTTGTGGGAGGCCGCAGTGAAGTCCATGAAGAGCCTTATGATGAAAAACTTGGGCAACACTGGGCTAACGTACGAGGAGCTTCAAACGATTGCAATCGAGTCGGAGGCAATCTTGAACTCAAGACCAATGGCACCCCTCTCCGAAGACCCAAACGATGGGGAGGCGCTTAGCCCAGCGCATTTGCTTATTGGGTCCTCTTTGATGTCCGTACCGGAACCCTCAATTGACAATAGCAGACCATCTTATCTTACGCGGTGGCAGCGCGTAACGTACTTGAAGCAGCAGTTCTGGGAGCTATGGAGGCGTGATTATTTACACACGCTTCAGGAGCGCTCCAAATGGCTCAAACCCAATGCTAATATTCAAATTGGCCAAATGGTGATTGTTCACGAGGATAATACACCTCCCCAGGAATGGATCTTTGGTCGCATCACCAACACGCATGTCGGAGCCGATGGACGAGTACGAGTGGCCGAGATCAAAGTGAAAAATGGAACCATTCGAAGACCCATCTGTAAGATAGCGCCCCTGCCTGAGCAAATTGGTGCTTGAATACTCCTTGGATCATTCAACGGGCGGAGAATGTTCGATGACATCATAAGTCAAAATTAATTTTGATTTAATTATTATTATTTTATGAATAACTTTGTTCAAGCTGATTAATAATTTGAATTCTTTGCCAACTTGTTATATTTAATTACCCCACACTGTATCATATGCTTATGTTTTGAATTCGCCTTACGCTCTTTTATACATGCAGCTCACACATGTACATACATACATATCTCTCTTTTGTAAACTCGAAATCGAACATTAAAATCAGGGCATATTAGAGACCGAAACAAGTCGAACGTTTTAATTCTACTCTAATAACTCGGCATTCGGCAGAGTCCGCACAATGTGTAAGCCTATAGCATATGCAATGTAGGCAATGAACCCGCGCACAAACGATTTGTCGCCGCTGTAAAACGTTTAAAGCGGGAACGACGGCACAAAAGAAAAACGAAAATGCTTTACAATGCGCGGGGGCGGGTGTGTGCGAGGGTCTAGCGGAGTTTTCAGCTTGCGTATGTTCTGCTGTTATGTACTTGCACGATCACCAACTTTAAACCGAATCGAAAATAATAAATTATTTGTTTGGTTGCACTTTAGTTTTAGATAGTTCGAATTTCTATTGCCTTTGTATCACTATCACGTCGGGGTCACCAAAATGTTGGGTCAGTAAGCTTTTTTACTAACCGTTACCTTGTGCCCAAGTAAATAAAACGCACAAATTTTAGATTTAAATTGCACTTATTTATTACTGGCACCAAGGCCTTAAATTCACAGAGTTATTGTTTGTTGGTTTGAATTAGGCAGGCAGACCGAATTGTCTGTGCCTTTTTCTCAGCGAAAAGGTATTGTAGCAGGCAGACCGATTTGTCTGGGCCTTTAGCGAAAGTATATAGACGCGAGAGATTTTAGCAAGCGATCAGCGTTCGTGCCTTTTTGTATTTCGAATTACTATAAAGGTATGTTGTGCAGGCAGACCGATTTGTCTGTGCCTTAAACGTCACGAAGAGTATATAGCCGAAGAGTATATAGGCAGGCGATCAGCGCCCGTGCCTTCTATGAGTGTGTACAAATTCGAACTGGGGTGAAGCTTGCCGTGGACGAAGGGCCAGGCAGCGATAAGCGAAAAAATGCAAAAAAGGTAGTTAGCAATGACAATTAAATTAGTGTTGCCGCGCAGGGCAAATAGCAAAACAAAAGGCAAACATCGAGAATTTGAATTACGTTACGATTTGAATTTAGTGATTGGATTTAGGCTGCGGCATGATCAAACAATTTATCTTAAAGCTAAATATAATTGGGACTAGAATATTAAGTGAGGTCACGAACCCCCGCCCAGGGTATCGATTCCTGGTAAAATACTCGAAAGTCCAGGAATATACTAGATAAGCTTAGCGTAGGCGAGGGAGAAAAATGCATGTGGGCACACGAGGGAAAAAGATCACTCTCTTTCCGGGCGGCCACGAAAAAGTACGGACGTGTGCCACACAAGGCGGAGAAGTTTAAGTATGAATGTGACAGAGGGCGAAGCCGGGACGCCAAGGAAAAAAAACGAACGGGAAAAGAAGAGAGAAAAGCACGGGGTAAGAGTACCGATGTAATCGGTGCAGTGAACATTTTCTGGAAACGAATTAATAAGATTAACCACTTGAGATTAATTTCATTGCCGCTTCGCTGCCAAATAACGTAGACTTGGTAGCTCAAGACCCCTCTCCCCTGTTACTCCCCTGTTCGTTTCGATCCTCCCTAGGCAGGTCGGGAAAGGGAAGACGGATCCTACCTCGTGAATAACTCGTTTTGGGACGGTCGATCATCCCCAGTTAGGTCAGGCAGGGACGGCGGTCCTCCCTATCGCGCATCGAGTGATTTCCTAATCCTGAGAATACTCTGTCGGCTGCGGCCTCGCCCGAAAGTCCAGCACGTGAAATTTTCCGTCTCTGTCAGACGGGAGACTCCTATTTCAGCGCCAAGTTTCCCTATCGGCTGCGGCCTCGCCTGAAGGTCCAGCCCGTGGGATTGTTGGGTCTGACGAACCCCTCCAGACAAAACTCTGTTCATCGAACGGACAGACCTCTCCAGCTCAGTGTTTCCGTGACTTACAAATTTTTTTTCCCCGGAATACGAATGAGATTCATTTCATGGCTGGAAAACATTCTTAAACAGATTATATATAGATTTGTAAGGATGCTAATCACGGGCCAGGATAAATACTCAGTCTATCCAGGGTCCCCTACAGAAATAATTTATATTTACGGAGACAGACAGGACAAGGAGGCGGGTTCCCTAATTGGGCGTGGGTTTGAGGGGGGAAAGTTTGGGTTAGTTTGGGTTGCGTGCCGTGGTTATGCCGTCGGCCCGTCACCCGGGCGGCCGGCGGACCAGGGCAGGCCCAGGGCGACCGATCCCGTCACCCGTGGATCGGCTTATCCGGCCCCGTCAACCGGGTGCCGGAGCCCTGTTAGGGGGCGGAGGGTTACGAGCCGTCGATCCCGTCACCCGGGAGTCGACTTGCCAGCCCCGTCACCCGGGTGCTGGTGCTCAAGGAAAGGATGTAGTGAGCGACTGATCCCGTCACCCGTGGATCAGTATGCCGGCCCCGTCACCCGACGGCCGGTGCTCAGACTACGAAGGAGGGGATGGTGAGCGACCGATCCCGTCACCCGTGGATCGGTGCTCCTAAATACCGGGTATGAGCGACTGCCCCGTCACCCGGGGTCAGCGTGCCGGCCCCGTCACCCGACGGCCGGTGCTCGAACTACGAGGGAGGGGGGTTTTGAGCGACCGATCCCGTCATCCGTGGATCGGTGCTCCTAAGTACAGGTCATGAGCGGCTGCCCCCGTCACCCGGGGGTCAGCATGCCGGCCCCGTCACCCGACGGCCGGTGCTCCTAAATACGGGATTTGAGCGGCTGCCCCCGTCACCCGGGGGTCAGCATGCCGGCCCCGTCACCCGACGGCCGGTGCTCGAAGGTATGGAGGGGAAAGGGGAAGGAGGACTTGGGAGAGAGAACACTATGGTTGATTGTGGTTATTCTTACAACTTTATTTATGATTCCTTAATGTCTGAGAGTCCCTAGTTCCCTGCGCACGTGCTGGCCACCCCGTAGGGCTGGCCCGCGGCCGGCTCACCCGTCTTATTGAAAGGACTCCATGTCCACGTGTTCTGTTGATCCTTGTTTCATCCGCTCACGTCCGTTCACTCTGCTTGTCAAAATCCAACTCCTCGATCGGCGAACAGCGAAGGCTGTTCAAAGCCCTCGCTGCTGCCGTCGACCGCGGCAGCGGCCCTTACGCTGCTTCCGTGCAGTCTATAGGCGTCCTCTTTCGTCTGCCGCTTCCCGCACCCGCGTCTCTTTACGCGATCGTGCGTTTCTCTTCCTTTTCGTGTCTCTCCGGACCCGGCCGTCGGTTCTGCCGAGAACGCAAGTTTGGAGAGATGGTAATGTTGCTAGCGTGGCGTGGTTGCCGATGGCAATGTTGCTGATGTGGATGTTGCTGATGTGAATGTTGCTGATGTGCGTGTTGCTGATGTGAATGTTGCTGATGTGCGTGTTGCTGATGTGGTTTCGGCGTGGCCGGGGATGTGGCGATGATGTAGTGCCCTCCATGGGTCTTTCTAGCTCCTAAATCTTATCTTATAAACTATTCCTAACTTATATGTACATACGGTAGGGGGGAGGCCCTTGTGAGGGTTACCTCACAGATTATATCATGTCCCGGAGCCTAACATTGTTTTTTGGCTTGATCTTTAATGATCTGTACAACTTCTCTTATTTGGAACGCGATTGGCGTGGCGGCTTTCATGTTGTTGACGGGTGAAAGAGAAAATCCATTAGTTGCTGGGTGTGGCTTAAAAACTTTTTGCCGTCTTGATATTACTGCGACCAAATTTGCCGGTAGGTGTTTCTAATGACGGTGTTTTTGGTGTTTGGTTCGCTATTTTCAACCTCTCCTTTCAACCAGAGGATCTGTGGGCCTGCCAATCTCGACGAAGCCGTCTCTTCTGGCGCAGCAATTCTTCGATGTCTATAGTTGCGGGATAGTTGTTGTGGACTTTATTATGAGCTATTTTTGGGGTTAAGTGCTTTGCGAAAAGCGACATTAGAGATGCTAGTGTACTGAGTTATCTTTGCTGTTTTCTAAGTTGATAATTGGACAGATATCAATATGAGAACTTACGTATTTCTTGTACTTCACCCAGTCAGTAGACTTGTCCGGAGAAATAACGTCAAACTTGTGTTGACAGATTGATTTGCATTACAAGTTATATTGTTGTTGCCTGAAGTTAATTTTGTTCATTTGTAGCATTGGTAGAGAATTGTGCCTTATGCGTAGCATGTGGGATGCCTGTGCCGCCATGGCCCTTACCATTAGGATGATTTGTACGATAAAATGTGTATCCGTTTTCAACTTACAAGGCATCTCAGAAAAATTTGAGAGCGTTGTCCTTTTTTAACAAATTATAGGTTCCGTTGCACTTCTGTAGGGATTGGATGTGGCCACGGTGCACAGTGGGAGATTTGGTCTCGCTAGAGGCATTTAATTATTAACTTCTAAACTAAAATAGATGTCTTCAGTCGGTTTTTTTTTCCCTGATCAGAGAAAAATCTTAGAACTTTTTAAGTTACAAAAATATTTTTTTAACATTTTTTTTATATATTTCTTTTTTTAATTAAAAAAAAAAAAAATTTAAATATATTTTGTTTAACTTTTATTTTTTTTAACTTGAATTAACATATTTCATGAATAAACTTTATCTAAACAAGAAAGGAAGCTAGCTTCGGCAAGCCGAAGCTTATATACCCTTGCAGTCATCAAATATTTCGAACAGAATACACAAAGGCTAAACAACATCGAAGCTACGACGACTTTTCTATTAATTTTCCATATTTTTTACTATTGTTCATATGGCAGCTATATGATATAGTCGTCTGGTTTAGATAAAAATTAATTTGTTATTCAAGAGTCGTTAGAAAACTCTATATTCCAAAAATCATCAA